AAGCTGCGGATGTTGTCCAGAGGGACTTTCAAGCCAGCAAGTCACCAATACTGCTAAAAACCTGATGTATGGACTTTGAAGTCTCTGTACGTATCTGATTGCTTTATCATTTAACTCTTCTTCTTCCTTCTTCTTCCTTTATAATAAACCTTTAGTATTAGACACTAAAGGATTGGCTGGCAGCGTGGGATTTGGGGTAAGATCCAAACTAATACTGACCTGGTAATGTGGCTGACTCTTTGGGGTTCAGAAGAACATGTTGTATAGTGAACAGAGTTTTTAAATAATTTCTCACTGCACTGGACCTAGGTGCTGATTGGGAGCCAGAGAACTGGAATGCAATAAAGGGGGCTGTGTGATTTCTTTTTTCAGCTTCTTGATAACCAGTGTGGGGGATCAGAAGCACAGTTTATGACTGGTTGGTAAGTTTAACTTCAGTGTTAACCACCCGTTTGGGGAGGATCTGCGCTCCTTTTTGCAGCCTGTCCTGACCTTGGCATTTTCAGTGAGGGCCACCCCAGGGACCCCAGGCCACAACTTCCACTACTCCGTAGACATTGTTCTCACTGGGTGGCTGGTCAACTAAGTCACATGGTCTTGTTTCTGAGCTCTGATTGGATGACTGGAATCTTTTCAACTGGAGAACAAATAGTTATAATGCTCTTTCTGCTATGAATTTTCAATGCAAGCATCAAGAGTGTCAAAATCTGCAACGTTTTCAGGATTCACAAACACTTTCTCAGAGGCCCAGCAGTTGCCTGGGTACGGGTCATAACATGGCCTCACCAATCAGAACAAGCTGAACGCACTGCTTTTACTTGCAAAGCTGGTTTTCTTTAGCTTTTTGAGCAACTCTCGACCCAAGCAATGGGGCTTCGACCATTTCCCTTAGGAAACACCACCACTGCGTGATAGATCCTCCAGGCGGGAAGACAGAATTTTCAGGGGATTGCACTGAGATCAGATCTGTGGAATGGTTATTAAATGCCACAAACTATCAGCCTCTTTCGGGCACTCCCTAGGGCTTGTGTTTGCAAAAGCCAAGGCAGGAGAAGACTTCAAGCAGGTATGAACCATGTGGTCAATACACAGCCCATCTCCTGAGGGGCTCCCTTTGCTCCCACTGCTATCCTAAGAGGCAGCCAGAGTGTAATATTGGGTTGCTCAGGGCGAGTACACCAAACCCCAAAGGTGCCAGTTGCGTGCCCACTGTACCTGAAGGCACCTCAGCTGTACCTGGGGATGCATGCCCTCCTGGCCCCAGTAACCACTCAGACACACGGCAAAGGGAAAGGGTTTCCCTGTGGCTGGCAGGAAAGGGGAAGGTGGCAGATACGCTGGGTATAGAGGTGTAGACAGTCACAGTTCAAAGTGAGCCACGGTGGTTCCTGTTCGGGCCCTGGGGCAGTCCCATCGAGTCAGGGCTCTTCAGACTCAGTGCCGGGGTGCCCTCTCCAGTCCAGTCTCTATTCCAGCAAATAGGAGCTTGCAGGTTCCCGGGCCAGGCTGAGTCAGTGTCTCTCGCTGGGGTTCCCCTGCACTGGCACCCAACCCAGCCGTTGCTGCTCCCCATAAGCCCAACAGAGACCTGCACCCAGCTGTAATGACTGACAGTCACAGCCTGTTCCACACACAGCTCTGTGCACAGTTCCTGACCTTCCACTCTGCAGCCGTTTTCTCTGCAGCTCCTGGCTCGCCATGCGGCCACCACTTCCCAACAGAGCCCAGTGGGTCACTGCCTGGTTCAGGACCTTTCCCCCTACCTGGCCGTGAGGAAGGGGATGCACCATGGGGAGGAGGCTGATGGGAGTTTTAGGCCCCTGCTTAGCAAATCCATCACAAGAGTCAGAGCGAAGGCCCCCGAGCAGATCACAAGGCTCCAACGTGAACCTGCCAAATTGCCTTTAAGGGACAGACACCGTCTATGCATTATGAGCCCTGAAACCTGACAACGGGACTGAGCCCCTCGCACACGGAGCAAAGAGCCGCAACCCCCAACCTCTGCCCAGCCCACGCTCAGCTTGGCTCTGCTCCCTGAACCAGGAGACAGAACACGGCGCTCTGGATCCACCCACCAGAGCCCGTCGTGCCCGGCTGGAAGTGACACAGCAGGAGGATGTGCTAGGAGCATGGGTGACAGCTGGTGGGAGTATGTTTAGCCCTGCAGCAGGGACAGCGCCGGATCAGACAGAGCCGACTTGTTCGGAGATAGAGACTGCGGCTTGGCACGTGCAAATCATGTTGAAGAATCAAAGCTCTAAAGCGCTGAGTGGAGCCAACAGCAGGAAATGAATCTGACTGGTCCTGTCTGTGCTGCCCAAGGGCCAAACCCACCCACACAAGCCTTTCAAATCCCTTGGTGTGCGCCCAGCACTTCACCAGCTGTGCCTGGCCCCCATGCAGCGTCCCTCCCCCTGCCAGCACAGACACCCTACAGCCCACGCTAACGCGAACTCTCAATGCCAACCTTGGCAACATCGCTGTTTGCCAGGGGCACATGTCCGGGTTAGGGGTGGGAATGGCGAAAGGTACACGGGGGAAGCCTAACATCAGTCTCCCAGACCAGAACAACGAGCACTGGAATCCACTCACCCGCGTCTGTCATTACGCGCTGCAAAGGGAACGTAGGTGCCTGTTCCAGCCAGGCCAGCACCACGCTACATGGAGTCTGCAGCACCACACAAGCGTGGATCACGGCGTCAGTTCTCTGCGTGACGCTCGTGCAGGCAGCTCTGCCTAACTAGAGACCCTTCCTGCTTATACCAGCTTAGCTTTCCAGGGTTAATGAGAGCCTGCTACCGACCGACTCACTGTTAGAGGCCCCCTGTTAACTGGGGTTGCAGGGATTAGTGTGTTCAGTACAGGAGTTCTGGATCCCCACTGATGACTTTGCTGTCTCTATGGTATACGGCCTCTGTTTATTGCACCAGTAAAGCAGAGGTGCCTGGAGCCAGACTCTCAGACACCAGAGCTGCCAACTTCCACCAGAGCTGTGCTACGCCCCGGCCTTTAACCAGTCCGTTGGGGGTTCCCCTTCAGCGTGCCAGACCCCCAAGGGGTCCACTCTTCCTCATGGCCTCAACGCCTCCAAGACCGAGCCTCTGAGCTCCAGCTTCTCACTCTGAGCTCTGCCCAACAAGTCCAATGGAGGTAGACGCCCGGTCACCCTCTCTAGGGATCAATGCTCCTCAGCAAGTATTTCAGCCTTTTCCAAACACAGTAGGTTTATTAGTCAACAGGAAATCCTTAGGCTAGCCCAGACGGCCCAGACCGGCCAATGCCAGGGCTCCACCTAGCCAAGCTGCTGTACAGTCCATCCTGGCTCACTCTGACTGTCAGTTCCAGGTGAGAGCTGGACGCCTGACACCTCTCCTCCATGGCCCTCCTCCAGTAGAGCCATGTTGGATTCACACTGTTGGCCTGCCTGCTGGAGTTTCCACTGTTAGGTGTCCAGGGTTCAGGCAATCTCTCTGCTCTCCCGCCCGGGAGCAGCACTTTAACCCTTCTGTACCCACTGGGTAGCCCTGCCAAGGGGATTGGTACAGAGCCCTCCCGCTAGCTCATCGAAACGCTACCGAGAATTCCCACATTCGTCACAGGCTCTATATTCAGCATCGCATGGAAATGACACAACGAGCCAATAGGGTGCCTGACAGCCAATGAGAACGAGGCTTTGGACTGCTGCATTCGAAGCCTGGATTCCTGTCCTAGCTTTGCATCGAATGACCCTGTGCAGCTTCTCCATTACATACGCTATCAAATGGGGGGACGGTAGTTGATTCTGCTAGTTCAGAAGGCTGAGCAGGGCACTACCCTAGGATGGGAAAGAGCTGGGTTTTATTCCCTGCTCTGCCACAGATGTCCCATGTGCGCCTGAGCAGTCATCTAGGCTCTCGGTGACTCCGTTCCCTGCCCACAAAATAGGGCAAGTAGCTCGGTGCTAGTTCACAGGGGGACACTCCGGATAAATACATTACAACCTGTCAGGCGCTCAGACACTCCAGGAATGGGGCCAGGTAGGTCTGATTTCTAGATGAGGTGGGGGACACAGGCAGAGAAAGATTAAGAGCACTCTGGGGAATTGCTGGGACTCGCACACGTGGCCCGGGAGCGTGCAGCACAACGCACAAGCCCTAGTGCTACAGAGCCCGGTGAAAAGACTGTGCAAATCCCTAGTCCATTTCCCCTGAGCCCCATGGCGCACCTGCCAAATGCCAGAGCGTCACATGAGACATGGACTGTGGCCGGTCTGGGGGGCATGTGCGCCCAGAGGAGAGCTACCGAGGGAAGGGGCGTCATGAAGGTCAGAACCTGCTCTTACAGCCATGTTTTGTGAATACTATCTGGGCAGGGCCATCCTGGCATCTTCCTTTCAGAAGGCCCTTTGTGTCATCGAGTTAGGGGTTCCCCTCTCTGGTTCTTCTCTGCTTCCATCTGTAATGTTAGGGGCTGCAATTTCCTTCCTTCTAACTCCCATAAAAGTCCCTTTGGTACAGGGCATGGCTCTCTGCTTGCGGGTGAGCGATGGGGCTGGTGAGGGCAAACATTCATGGATGCAGATGCGTGCGAGCCTGTGAGCGTGCAGTTTTGGGAACACATTTATTAGCTGCACAGAATCTCACACACACACACACACACACTCACAGAACCAACAGGCCAACTGAGATCTCCACAGTGACACAGAAACAGGTCTCACCCCTCATTCCCAGCAGCCGTGGCATTTTGCCACTTCCCCCCACACACACACTTGTGCCTTTGGGGGAGGCAGGCCTGGGGAGTCGCCTGCCAGAGCCACTCACCTGGGCAGGGAACGTTCTGCTCTGGACTGCACGGTGACCATTAGATTGTAATTAGTAATTACCCCAGTCCCCGGGGGTATAAATGTGGCTCAGTCCTCCCCCGGGAGCCAGTGCACCAGGTTTGCAGCCCCTGAGCCACTCCTCACTCGCCTGACACGACTGCACAGCTCCCCCCTCAGCTCGGCAGAGAGAAAGCCAAAGATGAACAAGATCCTGGCTCTGGGTTTGCCAGCCCTGCTCTGCTTGGCAACGGGTAAGTCCCGAAACAAAACCCAATGAGGGGAGATTTCCACCCCTGATGGAGCAGAGCTTCAGCTGGTGCCAGTCCAGTCAGCTGAGGTCTGGCCCATGTTCTTTACCGAGGGCAATTCAATTATAACCAACTATTCTTGCTCAAGGGCAGCCTGTGCTCTGGTGGAAGGACAGAACCGCCGCCCCTGGAAAGCCAGACTGGCCTAGCAGTGACCTGCCCACAGAGGGTCAGATGAAATGAACCGGAGCAGGACAGCCGTGGGGGTTGGATGGTTCCTGGAGACGGGGAACGTGCCTGTGCACGGAGCGTGGCCGATCCGTGGCTGCTCGTTGCCTACTCTCCGTTTTCTCGTCTCTTCACAGCGGATCCTCTCCAGTGCAACGGTTGTTTCAAGGTGTTACAGGACGGCAGCTGTAAGATAGGCCAATACACCTGCACGGCAGCTCCAGATGAATCCTGCTTCACCCGCAAAATCACCGCTGGTGAGTGAGAGTGACTGAGGGCACATCGAGGCCGGGGCTGGAGGGGAAATGTCCAGCTCGAGGAGATACACCCATCGCTCTGCTCCAGCTAGCACACCGACAGCAGACGTGTAACCGGAGCCAGCTGCCCCAGTTCGATCCTGCCCAGGGCACTAGACACCAGTGCAGACTGTCCCTGCGTTTCTGTGCAGTCCAGTGAGCCAAAGATGCCCCATCTCTGGGGCAGTTAGTGCTGGGAGGGGAGAAGTGATCGCCTTACCCTAGAGTGACCTCTTCTGGCCACGCCGGCTGTGGCACTAGGGAATCGTGTTCAGCCTTTAGGGTACGTCTGCCCTAAGGGCGGGGGGAGAGATGTTGCAGCTCGGGGGAGACATCCCCATGCTAGCTCTGACTGAGCACACATAGTGTAGCCACAGCAGCGTGAGACATGAGGGGCTAGCCCCTCCACCCCCCAAGTCTACATGCCTAGCGTCTTGGATGGGCACTTACTCGGGGGGGCTGGCCTCGCCTGCTGCTCGCTCTGCCATGGCTACCCTCTATTCTTAGAGCGCTCGCTGGATCAGAGGTAGGGGAATGTCCTGCCTGAAGTGTAGCCGGACCCTTAGTCCATGAAGGTGACTGGGACACTGGGGCATAGGGGCGGGGTGGGGGAGTCCTCTAAGGACAGAGAAGGGTCCTGAGCTACAGGAAGTGGGGTGACAGAGGAGCCCCGGCTCCTGGGAGTCAACAGAGGGGAGGGCAGCTCAGTTGGTGGATTCCCCTGGCCCTGTCACTGGGAGGAGAGGTCTGTCCCTGGCACCCAGCCCTGGGGGCTCAGGTCTCTTTCCCTCTGTAGGGAACGAGATCCTGCGGGTGGAGCGGGGCTGCACTGTGATCTGCGACGACCTAGTGCTCAGCAACTACGACTACAAGGAGATCACCCAGTGCTGCACGGACAGAGCCTTCTGCAACGTCCACAACCCCTGGCCCCAAACCCCCAAGGAGGATTAAGGGGAGGGTGTGGTCCTGGGGCTGCAGGAAAGCCACATTTGCCCTTTGCCCCAGGCCTGGCTCTGGGTTATTCCCCAACTCGCCTTTCCTCATTGAAAACCTGGCAGGAACCAAGACCGTCCCCTGGCATCACCCTCAATCACACACTCCTGACATCAATTAACTATAATTAAATTAGGAAATGAGCTCTGCTCACTGGCCCCGCCCTGCTTCGCCCCGGCCCCTTCCCTGCTTGGCTGCCCGCCTCCCATCTCGCTGCCCCAGGCCCAGCACCCAAACTCTCTGGTGCTTTGCTGCTGTTCCATAGTTGAAGGTGTCCGTATCAGGGTGACACACTCCCCCCAGCTGTCATTTCAGAGCCTCTGCTGCTGCCCCGTGAGAGTATTAAGGGGGCAGGGCTGGATTTAGGGGCAGGCGACCAAGGTGACCACCTGCGGTGCCAGGCTTTGGGGTCACCGGGCTTGGGGGACTGTTTTTATTGTTAGCAACAAAACAGAAAGTAGAATGTTTGAAGTAACAAGTATCAGAGGGGTAGCCGTGTTAGTCTGAATCTGTAAAAAGTAACAGAGGGTCCTGTGGCACCTTTAAGACTAACAGAAGTATTGGGAGCATAAGCTTTCGTGGGTAAGAACCTCACTTCTTCGGTATTCCGTATGTGATTCATTTTGCATTAACCTCCTAGAACAGTGGTTCCAACCTATTGTGGGCCACACACGTCTTATGTGGGCTGCATCCAATACTACCTGTATGGCCCTGAGGATGTCACATGGGCTGCAGCTCTGTGCTGATTGGACCGGAAGCAGCCCTTGGGCCGGAGGTTGAGAACCACTGTCCTAGAATGTTCTGGATCTTTGTAGAATCTCATGGAACTTTCCAGACTTTGAGAACGACACTCTCTTCGAACTTCCTAGAACGTTGTCAGCCATGCCCTCGTGGGTATATAAGGGGAGGGGCATTGCCAGTCAGTGAGATATAAGAACGAACTGAAGCGAAGCAAGAGCCCAGCTGCAATACTGGGAACCTTGCTTTGTTGTGTAATTGTGAAAGTGTACTTGTGTTTTAAGACTTGAAGAGTGTAAGTAGCGACTAATAAAGGACATATTTAATGAGATGCCAGAGATAGCTATCGAACCTCTATCTACGCAACAGGATAAAAGAAATACTGTTACTTCTTTTGCCATGCTTAACATGTAATGTTTGATGACTTTCTAAGATTGCGGAACACAGACTTTTGCTCTCCCTAATCCTGTCTGTTTTCCCACCTAGAAAATAAGAGATGCCCCCGAAGAAGCCTTCAGGAGCTCAGTACAGGAAGCGAAAAGCTCAATTGCAATCTAGTTTGCAGCAAGGGGCAAATTTTAACTAAAGGACTAGGGTTAACATCCTAAGGCTGTAACACTATTTAATTCTGGACCACCCAGTGTTGGTGCACAGTTCCATTTCTTGATGTCAGTACATTTCAGTTATTCTTAAAATTAAAAAGTTTCTATACGCTTAGAGCAAATGATTTGTTTTTAATTTGCTTATATAGGACATGAATAAATACAGATCCTAGCGTGCAAATTTATCGGCTTCTATGCCAGGGATAAATCACGCATGCAAATCGTGCATCAAAGTCATGAAATGGGCTATAAATGCAATAAAAAAATAAGGGATTCAAAATTTTAACAAAGGAAGGGGAGCACTGAACAGGTTCTTCGCCTGGGGGCCATTTGGTCTAGGGCACTGTTAAGGGAGGCCCCTCTCCCCAGACCTCGCTCTGTGCAGGGTGGGCAGTTTGCCAGCTTGGGAGGCTACAGTGCAGAGGGGACACCTTGCATGCCAACCAGTGGGACCCACTCAATTCCCGCTCCATCCTCCATGCTTCCCTGTACACTGGGCCCCAGCAACGCCATGAGCCTGGTGTCTGCTCAGCACAGACACCTGAAAACTGTAGACAAGCCCTAAGACGGATACCCAGTCCAAGTGAGAGAGAGAGAGACAGAGAGAGCATGCTGCCAGCAGGACAGCCTTCTTCTCACCTCCAGAGGTGAGGGTTAGCTGGGTTGACAGGAACTTACAAATGATTGCAAAGAGACACGGTAAGTGAGGGACTCTGGTGGTGACAGACAAGCTTTCGAGCTACGCAGAGTTCTTCAGGTCTGGGAAAGGTACACAGAACATCCCAGCTAATTACAATATGGAACAGATTGTTTAACATAAGTAGTTAACACATATTCTAAGGGACTATTCAAGGTGAAGTGACCCATTAACACCCCTGCAGTCACAAGACAAAAGATGGAGTTAGTGGATTACAGATTGTTGTAGTAAGTCTTATAAACAGGTATATCACTGGACAAATGCACCATGAAACCAATGATATACCTGAGACACATCGTGATATTTTCATCCTCTGGACAGATGACCTAAACTTCCTCATATTTCCACTACAACTTCAACCTCCACCACCCATCCATCAAACTCTCTCTAGAGCACTACTGCACCTGTATCAGCTTCCTGGATTCTATTCAAGCTGATTGTGGTGTCCTACAGACAACTACGTACAAGAAACCCACAGATCACCACACATTCTTTCACAGATCCAATAATCACCCCAAACACACCAAGAAATCTGTTATCTACCACCAGGCACTCAGATACCACAGAATATGGTAGAAATGGAGGAGAAAGTCTAGGATACACACTAAAAACTGCCTTTGCCAAACAAGGACCCCCCAGAGCAGTACATCAGCTACTCCTGGGGAAATTCTGTGCCACTGCATGTGTGCAGAATTCATGTCCCCCACAGATTTCTTTGCTTCCCTGCAGAAAAATGACTTTCTGACAGGGAAGGAAAGTGAAGCTGCAAGAGCAGTCACGCACCTCTCCCTAGCTGCACAGGTACATCATTTCAGGCAACCGGAGCACTCAGTGAAGACATAAATCTCTGTGGGGCTGGGAACACCCCAGCCAGTGGCTCCTACCCTGAGCCAGGATCAGCTGCTAGTCCTGGCTGGGCTGGAGGCAGGAGAGGACAGGACTTCCTCTTCCCCTGCAAGTAGTGGCTGGGGCTGTGTCAGACCCGTCCCCAGAAACTTCCCCCAGCTGCAGGAAGCTCAGCATCCTCCCCTGCTCGCTCTTCACCTGTGGGGGGAGGGGGTCACTGTACCGGGAGCTGTACAGACACAGCTGTGGGGAGTGTGTCTTGCTCCCCCATGCATCTGGACCTCCCATCCCAGACACCCCTGCCAAGCCTCACCCCGTACCCCCCCCCAAGCCCTCCATACCTAAACCCCACCCCACTGAACCTCAACCCCTGCATCTGGAGCCCCCTGCCTTCAGACCCCCCCAACCCTGCACCCAGACCACCACCCACTGAGCTCCCTGCACTCAAACCCCGATTCTGATGAGCCCCACCTCCCTGCACCACCCCGAGCCCCCACATCCAGATCCCCATGCCACTGACTTCCAACTAGCTGCACCCAGGGCACAGAATTTTTAATTTTTTGGTGCAGAATGAATCCTGGAATATCAGGGTTGGAAGGGAGCTCACGAGGTCATTTGGTCCAACCCCCTGCTCAAAGCAGGACCAACCCCAACTAAATCATCCCAGCCAGGGCTTTGTCAAGCCTGACCTTAAAAACCTCTAAGGAAGGAGATTCCATCACCTCCCTAGGTAACCCATCACCACCCTCCTACTGAAAAAGTTTTTCCTAATATCCAACCTAAACCTCCCCCACTCAACTTGAGACCATTACTCCTTGTTCTGTCATCTGCTACCACTGAGAACAGTCTAGATCCATCCTCTTTGGAACCCCCTTTCAGATAGTTGAAAGCAGCTATCAAATCCCCCCTCATTCTTCTCTTCTGCAGACTAAATAATCCCAGTTCCCTCAGCCTCTCCTCTCCTCCCTCAGGAGTAATCAGTGGAGCCACCCAAATACCCCGAGAGAGCTTGCTTCAATACAATACAAAAGCTTCTCTCTTTCACCAACAGAAGTTGGTCCAATAAAACATCTTACCTCACCCACTTTGTCTCTCTAATATCCTGGGACTAACACAGCTACAACACTGCAAACAAAACTGATTGAGAAGAAAGATTACGGTGGAGGTAATGGGAAATACGTGCAGAGAACGTTCTGGTTTTACCCTCCTTGCTCTGAGAGCTATGTACCTTTGGGTGATAGATTAAATAAGGCTTTGTTTTGAAGATGCTTTTTCTGAGTCATTTTAATCCGTTGCTGGTCACAGGCTCCCGGGGGGAAGGGGGGGGAAGGGCTTGAAAATGCTCAACCCAGTTGGGCCTGCCGATTTAATATGGTTGGTAAAAAAGGGGGCTGTAACCCAAAGACCCACTCTAAGAGTGGTTGGACCCAGAGGTTCTGCCCAGAGGGGAAGCCAGGCCTGTTACCTGAGGGGTGCACTCAAGAGGGGCAAAAACGGTCTAAGGTGCAGTTTGCCTGGTAACCGTAACACACGTGATTTCGATTGCTTTGTATCAGCGATCTGGCCTCTTCATTATTTACCACTCCTCCACTTTTGGATCATCTGCAAACTTCATCGGGAATGATTTCATACTTTCTTCCAGGACACTGATAAAAGTGTGACATAGTGTAGTAGGGCCAAGAACCAGTCCCTGCAGGACCTCACTAGAAACACAGCCATTCGACGATGATTCCCCATTTACAAATTACATTTAGAGACCTATCATTTAGCCAGTTTTTAACCCATGTAATATGTGCCATGTTGATTTTGTATTGTAGTTGCCTCTTAATCAAAATGCCGCTTGGCACCAAGTGAAATGCCTCACTAAAGTCTATGACATCAACACTCTGTGCGTGTGGATGGGCGGCTGGCTGGACGGGCAGGCAGCATATTTGGGAATATATTTATTTGCTTCACAGAATTGCATCTGTTGACCATTGACCCTGGCCTGATCTTGGTTTTGAGTAAAACACAATCTATTTGCTAAGCATGCATAAAGAAATAACAATGAATGTTATTATCGCAACTGTAACAGCCAGTAGAAGAACCAAAACACATGTATTAAAAATAGGCTTAGCTATAGGTTTTAAGCATTAAGGGCTTAGAGTTAGGCCTAACTGGAATAAGTATTATGTGCTTAAGCGAAGGTTATGAAGTTTAGCAATATGCATCTTGTGATAGGTTAGCAATGCATTTTGTGATATATGCGTAAACCACAAACAAGCAGATGGGTACTTTTGCAATAAGTCTAACAATGGAGCTATCTGCATTGACGTATCAAAACTATTGGGACATTCATTGATGTAAGTGCCTGCATTGGTGCTTGGAAGTTGAACTATGGTACCACCATACATGGGCAGGGCTGAAACCTTATCAAATATGGTCCCAGACATGAGAGGGTGAAATAGGAAAAGGTGTATAAAAATGTGTTTATCCAGCCTGTTGTTGGGGCACCAGGGGATGACATGGGACAGCCTGTCAGGATCCCAACAAGGGCAGTCAGGGCCAAAGGTCAGAGCAGGGGCAAACCTGAGGTTGGAAGTAGCAGAGGAGTTCATAGTCAGGCTCCAGGCCAGGGTCAATCCAAGCCAGGAGGCAAAATCCAAATCAAGCTGAGGTCAAAGCCTGAACTTCAGGAGCAAAGAGCAGGAACAGTCATGGCAGCTACAGGACTGCCCCTTGGGTTTATATAGAGTAGACAGCCAATCAGGAGTCTTGAGGCTGCTGTCTGTCAAACCCTTGAGGTGGAACGTCCCATGGGCTGCGTCCATAGCAGATCATTGGAAGTGGCAAGCAAACTGGCTGTAGCCTGGGTAACAGCCTGGTGATGCTACCTACCTATTAGCTCTACAGACCTGGGTTCTAGACCCTATGGGGGCTCCCTACAATGGATAGAAAGCTTGGCCCTGTACTCTCCTCCTGGGGTGGGGTCCACTTACACTCTCTTCCATCTTTGTTTCTAATGGTCCAGGAGGTTGTAAGTCCCCACAATGAAATACTTGTAAGTATGAACAAAGCAGGAACCACCTTACTTATAATTATGTACATTGATGTTTCTATTACTTCAGATATATTTGTCTGCACCAACTCAAGCTCATAAAGTCTCTGTGTCCTTCACCAATTGCACCTTCTCACTTAACTATAACCGGCTGCCTGAAAAAGAACTGGGCTAGATAAGTTTATGGAGGGAATGGTTTGATGGGATTACGTGATTCTAATCAATTAGGCAATAACGGCCATCGCTGGTCAAATGAGGGTCTGGCTAGAGAATCTTGCCTGTATGCTCGGGGTTCTGCTGATCGCCATATTTGGGGTCGGGAAGGAATTTTCCTCCAGGGTAGATTGGCAGTGGCCCTGGAGGTTTTTCGCCTTCCTCCGCAGCATAGGGCAGGGGTCGCAAGCTGGAAGATTCTCTGCGTCTTGAAGTCTTTAGATCACGATCTGGAGACTTCAACAGCAGAGCTAAGGGAAAGTGGGGGGGTCAGCTTTTGTGGCCTGCATCATGCAGGGGGTCAGACTAGATGACCATATTGGTCCCTTCTGACCTTAAAGTCTATGAGTCTATGAGTCTATGAGTGGTTATTTGTGACAAGTGCATGCTTCACCCCAATACATTCTTTTACCATTGTAATAACTGATCTGATTTTTTTCTTAATAAAATAGAACCCAACAGGCCAATCGAAAGCTCCACAGTGGCTCAGGAACAGGTCTCACCCCTCATTCCCAGCAGCCGTGGCACTTTGCCACTTCCCTCCCGCTTGTGCCTTTGGCAAAATGCCCCTGTGGGGGAGGCAGGGCTGGGAAGTCGCCGGCCAGAGCCGCTCACCTGGGCAGGGAACGTTCTGCTCTGGGCTGCACGGTGACCATTAGATTGTAATTAGTAATTACCCCAGTCCCCGGGAGTATAAATCCCTCTCTGTCCTCCCCCTGGGAGCCAGTGCACCAGGTTTGCAGGCCCTGTTCTGCTCCTCACTGGCCTGACACGATCGCACAGTTCCCCCCTCGGCTCGGCAGAGAGAAAACTAAAGATGAACAAGATCCTGGCTCTGGGTTTGCCAGCCCTGCTCTGCTTAGCAATGGGTAAGTCCCGAAACAAAACCCAACGAGGGGAGATTTCCACCCCTGATGGGGCAAAGCCTCAGCTGGTGCCAGACCAGTCAGCTGAGGTCTGGCCCATGTTCTTTACCGAGGGCAATTCAATTACAACCAAGTCTTCTAGCTCAAGGGCAGCCTGTGGTCTGGCGGAGGGACAGAGCCGCCCCTGGAAAGCCATCTATCAATGTGGGGGAGGGGCATGGCTGGTTCCACGCGGCCGGGCAGCTGTTTTGGTGTCTGTGTCCAGTCACCAGTCTGGGCCCGGCTTCTTGTTTCCTACTCTGCCTTCTCTCTCCTTTCCACAGCTGCAGCTCTCCAGTGCAACGGCTGTTTCATGATGCTACAGGATGGCAGCTGTATGCTAGGCAAACACACCTGCACAGCCGCTCGGGGGGAATCCTGCTTTACCCGTAAAATCACTATAGGTGAGTCTGGGAGGCCAAGGACCCCTCAGAATGCAATTTAGGAGCTGCCAGGGTGTGAGGGAAGAACACCTTACTCTAGCGTGACCCCTTGTGGCCAAGCTAGCAGTGGTGCTGGGGAGGGCCTCACAGCCCAACCTTCACCTGGAGCATCTACACAGCTATTTTTAGTGCCATAGTCTGTCGACCTGGCTCTGGGATTTGCTGCTGCTCGCTATGTGGGTGCCACATTCGTCCCTTAATCAAGGACGGTGACTACGGGGATGGCGACAGAGCAATCCGAGGCGTGACTGAAGCACTGTAGACAGGCCAGAGCTAGCGGTCATCTAGCTAGCTTGGCTAACGCTAGCAGGGAAGCTGTGGCATCAGGGGTGACAGCGCAGCTAGCCACTGGCGTATGTACCCGGAGTCCCGGGTGGGCTCGTACGACCTGTGCTGACGTCGCTGCCCTGCTGTTGTTACTGGAGCTAGCTAGATCAACGCTAGCTCCGGCCGGTCTACAGCGCTTCAGTCACGGCTCTGACTGCAGTGTAGACAGACCCTGTGACACTGGGACAGGCAGAAGTGGGTGTCCTCTGAGGACAGAGAGAGGGACCAGCAGGTGTCTTCCCCTGGAGCAGTGGGAAGAGAGTGGCAGGGGAGACAGAGGAGTCCTGGACAGAGGGGAGGGCAGCTCAGCTGGGAGGAGGGGCCTGTCTCTGGCACCTGGCTCTTGTCTCTCTTTCCCTCTGCAGCGGGCTTTATCAATCGTGTGGAGCGGGGCTGCACATCCATCTGCGAGGATACAGAGATCCCTGAAGACTACTACAAGGACACCACCCAGTGCTGCACAGATGGGGACTTCTGCAACATCCACAATCCCTTCCCCAAATTCTCCGATTATGCCTAAGGGGAGACTGGCGTTCAGGGCTGGCAGGAACGCCATGTTCTCCCTTCACCCCACCCCTGGCTCTGGGTTAGTCTCTCATGCCCCTCGCCTCATGTAAAATCCAGCGGGACCCAAGACCATCCCCTGGTGTCATCCTCAATCACACGCTCCTGTCAGCTACAAACGATATTTAAATTAGGAAATGAACTCTAACCTCTGGCCCCGCCCCACTCCCCCTGGCCACGCCCTGCTTCCCCTTGGCCCCTCCCCTTGCCTGGCTGCCCTCCTCCCATTTTGCTGTCCCAGGCCCAGCACCCAAACTGGTGCTTTGCTGCTGTTCCGTAGTTGAAGGTGCCCGTATCCCCCACAGCTGTCGTTTCAGAGTTGCCGCTGCCCCATGAGAATATTAAGGGCCCCCCCCCCCTTTCCCCAGACATCGCTCTGTGCAGGGCAGGCAGTTTGCCAGCTTGGGGGGCTACAGTGCAGAGGGGACACCTTGCATGCCAACCAGTGGGACCCACTCAATTCTCCCTCCATGTTTCCCTGTACACTGGGCCCCAGTGACGCCCTGAGCCTGGTGTCTGCTCAGTGCAGACACCTGAGACAGAGCGAACACAGCACAACCCACAGCTCTCTGCTCCAGACGGGCTGTAAAAGGGTCGATACTGTCCCAAGCATGGCTCTGCCAGCTAGTTGCCAGGTTCTCCCCCAGGCAACTAGCTGGCAGAGCCATGCCTGGGACAGGAACCCGGACAGCAGGGCACTCAGGGATTTCCTCCTCTGCAGCGTGCCCAGCTCCCTGCCTGGCTGGTCCCCCGGAGCTCCCCCTGCCCTCGGAAACGAGTCCTGCCCATCTCCCTGCCGTGATCTAAACCCCACTGTGCCTGGGGCAGTCCCTGATCTCTGAGTGATCCTGGAATGGGGTCACTCTGTACAGATCACATCCCACCATTCCATTCAGCCCCCACACACTCTGAACCGCTGCCTCCCTGCCGTGCCCAGGGTGTGATCCTGGCTTGCTGTATTTGCAGCTGAGATTCTGCTGATGAAACGCCTGCGCTTATCTCCCTCTTTGTCATATTCTGCTCGTTTGTTTCCTTGCGCAATAAACCCTCTGATTGTCACAGAGCGCTCAGGGCCTTCGTTTCATACACCGTCAGGGGACAATGTATTTTCAGACCCACATTTGAGACAGTAGCTTCTATCACCACCCCTACGTGTCCAAAGATGGCAGAGGTTCTGCTAGGACATCTCCCTCTGGTAGGTAAAGCAGAGTGCCTGGCCCTGGGGAATTACATCCAAGTTCTTCCCATTGGTAGGGCGGGTCTAAGTGGAACTCTTAGGCCCCAGTGTTGGCAGCAAAAGGGCTGGGTTCAACGTTCTCAGGGTTCCTTCCTTAGCTGACACCGACTTGATCCCCTCCCCAGAAACCAATGAAACAATGTACCCGTCCCTGAGCACCCTTGGTGGGCAATTCTTCCCCATGCGCCAGGACTGAGTCCAGGGGTTAAAACAAAGAGAACTTTATTAGGGGAGGGGAAAAGGGGAGGCAGACAACAGAATGAATTTGGGGAAATCAGTAATTAATGAATTCTAAGGAGGTAAGACTCCTGCCCCACAAAGTATCTTAACAGCAGTCCCACCCTCAGTCCTCAGGAATGGTGGACAATATGCTGGCCCTAGCTGGGCTGTTGGCAGTGGGGACCGAAGCTGGTACTGCTGGACGCCCAGCCACCGCCAGAGGGACACGGAGCACTGCCCTGAGGGGTGTGGGTTACATGGGCCCCAGGCTCAGGGCTGGCTCCAGGCATTCGGGGGAGCCTGGCAGATGCAGGGGGGATTGAGCGGGGCTGTCTGGTTGGCAGGCACGGTGCCCCATCCCTCAAACACCAAAGGAGGGCACTGGAGCCTTCCCCACTGGCAAACTGCCCACCCTGTTCAGAGCCCTATCAGGGGAAAGGGGCCCCTTAATGCTCTCAGGGGGGCAGGGGCTCTGAACAACAGCTGGGGGGGGGTCACCTTAACCCACAGCACCACAGCAAATCCAATATCCAAGGGAGTCATAGTGCTGGGCCTGGGCCAGCGAGACACAGGGAGGGGGCAGGCAGGCAGGACAGGAGTGAAAGGGGAGGGGGCCATGGGAAGGGGAGGGGCCAGAGGACAGGAGAGGGCAGGCATGGGCCACAGCAGGTCTTGGATTCTGGTGGGTTTTTAATCAGACTGGGGAAACCAGGAGAGAAACCAGGAGGGACGGGGGAGGGGAGAATGTGGACTTCCTCCAGAAGTGCAGCTGCCCCCAAGTGAGTGGGAAGGGAAGCGGCGTCCATGGCCCCTAGGCATTGCAGAAGTCTTCGGTGCAGCAGCGGAAGTCGTGATGGATGAATGTGCCTCCGACTTGGTCCTGGCAATCTCTGAAGCAGCCCTGCTGTGCATAGAGGGGGAAGTTCCCTGGACAAAGAGAGAGAGCCATGAGTCCCCAGGGCTGGGCGGCAGGGACAAATGCCTCCTCCCTGGGACTGTGCCAGAGGAATCCAGTGTCTGGTCCGGCCCCCCAGCCAGAGCATCACCAGCTGAGCTGCCCTCCCGTCTGTCGATAGCCAGGAACCATGTCTCCTCTGTCACCCCCTGCCATTCCCTTCCCGCTGCTCCAGGGGAAGACACTTGCTGGTCCCATTCTCTGTCCTCGGGGACTCCCCAACCCCTGCCCTTCCCTACAGCCCCATGTCACAGTCACTGTTCTGGACTAAGGGATGAACATGGCTCCCTTTGGAGTTCCCCAGTGTCCTGCCAGCTTGGCAGCCATGGGTCACTCCAGGCCCAGCAGAGACCCTCCTAGTCCCCACCCTCCCAGCGGCTGAACTTGCTGCCCTCCAAAACCTTGAGCCCCAGAGATGGGGCATCTATGTTCACTGAAAACACCAACCAGGGGAGCGGGGGGCCATGCCTACCACCTGCACATACCGAGGAGGAGTGTCTGGAGGTAGCAGGATTCCCCCGGAGCCGCCTTGCACATGCTTTTCCCTGCAAGACACGTCTTGTTCGGCTGCTGTCTGACACACACGTGGCACAGGAGGGCGCCCGCTGCGTTACAGGAGAGAGAAGAGAATGACACAACTCGCCGGGCACAGAGGGCCATTGGAGATGGGCAGGGAAATAGAGTCACCCGTCTGATCAGGAGCGTGGTGACAGGGAGCTCTCGTGTCCCTGTGTTATAGAAAGGCTGAGTGTGAATCGGCGTGGGGAGCTGACCAAACCAAGCCCATGAAATAGAAACTCATCAGGATACACACACTAGCTCTGCCTCTGACTCTATAAATAATTGACTTATGAATTCACCACAATTGTTCTAGTAGCTTTTCAGATTTTTAAAGGTACATCGCTGTGTTTGTAAAGCTTTTTCCTTCCTCTTTTGCTGTCCCAGGACCCAAAGAAACAGGTGTGGAAACTGACTAATTGACTATACCCAGGAAATACTGAAACTGACTTAACAGAGGGCTTAGAAACACAATGTAAATTGGGAGGAAATAGGAAAAATACCTCTCTCTCTGATCCTTTCAGTTACAATGAGCTTTTAATCTATTAATCTAGTAGTTAAAATATTTCCGACAGTGTGATTTCTATGTGGAGGGTGAACCAAATCAGTCTGAAGACCCATTCCAGTTTTTCTGTGCTGCTTATGAAAGAGTCAGTGAATATTTTCAAGTGCGCGGGGAAAAAAAACCCATTCAGCATGAATCTCAAGGAGGTCAGCAGCCAGTCAGATCTCTCTATTCCGCTATCCCTGTGGCAGCATATAATCTTTCCTACCCCTATAATTTTATTAAAAATTTAAAATAATGTGAAAATCACAGTGACCCGCGTAAGTGATTGGCACTGGCTGCTGCTCACCATTTTGCAATACACATCGCACAGTTCTTTGTCTTGGAGAAAAGTACTGGCAATATTCACTGCTCAGGTCAGCTCAAAATCCCCCTCACTCGTGCCACAAAGGGGCTAGGTCTGTCTCTGCCAACTGCCTGGATTCAGCACAGCTCGACTTAGCGACTGCCAGAGACATTTCTAACAAGCTCATGGCCCTGCTGTATTTGGGTATGTTTGGGAGGCATGTCGCTGGTTTGCAGAACTCAACAGCCCTGTCTCAGTCTTACGAACCCATCCATTTCCCTGTATTGGCTTCAGAACACTGCTGATGTTATCTGTCCCTCTGCAGGTCCCTCCCTAGGCCAGCCTGGCTTTGCCAAGGCGTCTGTCACTAATGCAGAGCACAGGCTGCTCTTACACTACAGTGTGTGAATCCCCCTCCCTAACTAACAAAGGCCAGCTCCTCTGCTGCTGTACATCATCCTAGCTAGCTCCACTGACGTTGATGGGCCAGCTCCCCGATGGAGCCGAGGATCTGGCCCCTTTGGGGGCGAATTGGTCGGTTTCGTTTGGGGACTTACCCATTGCGAAGTACAGCAGGGCCGTGAAAACAGGAACCAGCATCTTGTTCATCCTTCGTTTTCTCTCCTTCAAGCGGCGGCGGAAGTGGCACGGTGTGCTGAGCGAGTGAGAGCCCGGGCAGTGGTGCAGGGCAGTGTGCAGAGTATGGCACACTTCAAACACCAGACGGAGTTATATTACCCCTACTGGAGGCCGGGCAGCAGCCAATCAGGGCCCTTCCTGCGGGAAACACCCAGGTTTTTCTGTTGATTAATAATCATATCCCCAGATTGGATTGAATGGTCAGTCCAGGAGCAGAGCGATTCCTGCTCAGGTGACCAGCTCTGGGCAGGCAGCTGCCCACCCTCCCCAAAGGCTGGGGTTGGACTGGGCTGGTGCCAGTCGCCCAGGGCTCCCATAGGGTCCCTACCAATGTCCACAGAACATAAATGGTCCTTTTTAAGAATTAAACGTTTTACCCCATTACTGTGAATAAAACCTTCCAGCTGGCCGCTGAGTCTGCGTGGCTGAGACACACCCCGCCACCCCCGGGGAGAGGGGAGCCAGCTGCAATAGAGGCGGCCCCAGCAGAATGGCAGCCCCTTGCAAGTCCCGCTGCTGCGATGTGGAGGGCAGCAGAGCTAGTGGCTCTACCAACAGAGAACGCCCTGGCCACAGGCAGAGTCCCACCAGCTGTTATGGAGAAAGAGCAGCGTGTGTCCCCAGTTACCAGCAGGGCAATTGGGAGCTGGGATGGGGGATCAGGACTATGGTGGGACAGTGGGTGAGGGCAGGCAGGACGGGAAGCTCACTAAGAAACCTGGAGCCCCCAATGGCTGTGGGAGTGGGGAGCTGCAGCACCCCCCTCAGCTCATGCGCTTGGAAAGGTGCAAACTCCTCCAACCACACTGCCTGTGCCCCCTCATCCCCAGGGAACAGAACCCTATGGCCTGGGATCCGCCCACCTGAGCCTGACCACTGCAAAGGACACCGAGGGAACATGCTGAGAACGTGGGTGGCAGATTTCCATCAGTATTTTTAGCCCAGCAGCGGGGGCAGCGCAGGATCAGATGGATCCAATTCATTTAGGGACAGAGTCTGCGGCTCGGCCTGTCCCAGGGTCACTCTAAGACCAGCACAATGGGATGCCCCCTTTGTGGGGTAGTTTGGACTGTCTCAGCCACACACTATTTAGTCATCACACTGGCTGCTGGAGGCCAATGACTGGGCCCCAGAGGGACCTCACTGGTGTTAGCCAAGGCGTCCAACTCAAGCAATGACATTCCACCTCCTGAAACACCCCCTCTCTGGTAGTTTCAACTGGACAGGGGAGACATCATCAAGTCTTGTCCTAAACCTGGGTTGTGTTGCTGTGCCCAGTTAAAGAGCTGCCTCGTTCTGCCCCAGTGGTGGCTTCATATTCCAGCCTTAGGTGAAGGGGCTGGTAGCACCACCTATTATTATGGTTGCCCAAGACATCCCATTATAGGGCCCTGTTTTCAGCCAAACTTTAGCTAGTTAGACTGACATTTTCCATGACAGGTGTCTGCCTCTGGCTGAATTTTCTTGGAAAGTTTCAGCCAAAATGGTCCAGCTGTTTCTGAGAACAAGGCTAGGGGAAGTTAGACATAAAGGTAGCTCTGGAACAGGCTTCCAAGGGAGGCTGTGGAATCCCCATCAGTGGAAGTTTTAAAAAACAGGCTGGACAAACACCTGTCATGGATGGTGTAGGTATCTGGGTCCTGCCTCAGTGCCGGGGGTGGACTTGGTGACCTTTCAAGGTTCCTCCCAGCCCTACACTTCTGTGATTCTATGTGGGGCTAAGAGGTTTCCCTGAGACTGACTGTAAAACACAGGGGCTAGGGGATTGATTGCTTGCAGCTACGTGTGTGTGCCAGCATCAGCACGCAAGACAAGCAGGAGTGAGCATGGCCCTGACCGGAAGCTGAGCGACAGGGCTTCTGTTTGGGCACAGTGCCGGCTGGAAATGCAGACTTGGGTTTCTGTGCAAAGAAACTGCCTGCTGTTCGGTTCTGTTTTGTTTAGGGAAATAGGACTTTGTGGCCAGTCTTTTTACTAGACAGGATTGCACCAAAGAAATACCTGACTCTAGCATCAGTCTCTCCTCCTAATGGAAATGACGCACAAAGTCCCAAATACTGGCTAACCACTTGGACCAAAAGGGGTAACAGGTTTGAGTTTGGATGGGCTGTAGCGTGCAGTGACCCCCAGGCTGTGCTGGCAGGGGGAGGGGTGCTGCATGGGGGCCAGGGTGTGTTAGCACAGCGGATGATGTGCTGGGTGCACTGAGATTTTAAAGGCACTTCCTTAGCACGAGACACATGGGTGAGTTTAGCAATGTAACGACACAGACAACACCAGTCAGATTTGTTTGCCCCTTGGCCCCACTCAGGACATTAGTGCATTGATGCTTCGGCATGATTTGCACGTACAGCACCTGACACAAAGTGGGCTACTCAGTGTGCTGGGTTCAGCGTGACCCTGGGACGTGCCAAGCCGCAGTCTCTGGCCCCAAACAAATCGGCTCCGTTGGATCCAGCGCTATCCCCGCCACAGGGCTAAACATACTCCCACCAGCTCCCAGCATGTCCCCCCCATTGTGTCACTTCCAGCCAGCCGCAACAAGCTCAGGTGGGTGGATCCAGAGCGCAGTGTTCTGCTCCCTGGGGCTGTATGGGAGCAGAGCCAAGCTAAGCATGGCCTGGCCAGATGGTGCAGGGCAGTGGTGGTGGTTTGTCTCCCCATGCCGTGGGACGAGGGGCTCCGTCCCATTTGCACGTTTCAGGGTTCATAGTACTTAGACCATCACATCTCATTAGAGGAGAGTCATTAGGAACTAGTCAATGCCTCCTCCAGAGACACACAGCTACCAAACCCTTTAAAAAGATGCAAGAGCTTGCCCAGTTTTCACCACGCCAACCCAACCCAGTAGATCTCTCCAACGGCTGCCCAGTGTCCAACCTCTTATAATAATTGAGAAAGTCATAACCATGCTGGTCCAACATGCAGCTGCCTCCCAGCAGGGTTCAGACCAGGGCACAGCAGAGACAGCCCCAGTGGCACTGAAAGCCGACATCCTCGTGGCCACGGACGCAGGTCAGTTCTCTATGCCCATGTTGCTGGACCTCTCTGCAGCCTTTGACACAGTGCACCATAAGGTACTGCTACCCGCCGACACGGTATCACAGGAATAGCTGAGCCAGCGCTACATTGGCTCTAATCAGCCTTCTGCAGCAGAACTCAGAACGGCCGTGGGGAACGGCACCTCTCCAAAGGCCCCGCTGTGGGTCCCACAGGGATCCCTCCCATCCCTGGTTTTCTTCAATGGCTGGGAGAAAGCATGAGATGCGATGGGCTTAGCTGCCAGTATGGTGCCCGACACTCAACCCTGTCTCTGCCTCTCAGCTCATGCACCCACAGCTACTGCTAACCTATTGGGATGCCTACAGGAAAACAGCTGCTGGTGAACCGCAGCTGGCTCCAGCTGAACCCCATTTCATCCCCTCTCCCGCCCTTTTCACTCTGAACGGTCCTGATCCTGCAAACGTCTGCAGGGATGCAGCCCCCGTGTCCCTGCGGTGTCCTGCCAAAGTCAGGGGGGAAAAGGGCCACACGAGCAGGTCCCATAGAGCCCAATCCTGCCAGATGCTCCATGCACTACTAGTAGCACCCCCCGACTAGGCTGGCACTGAACGTCTCGTTCTTTTCCATAACACCCCCACCCCGAGGGGCCTCCGCAAAGGGATGCCATGTGTCCCTGTCACACATGCACGTGGCCGGTGATGGGAACTTGCTGTACACACACTGCTCTGATGTGTGTAATGAACAGCCTTAAAATAAACCAACTTCACCTCGGTGGGCCAGATGCTGAGCCGATGGGGAGGGACTCTGGGCTCACACGGGTGTACCTGAACTCAGGATCTGGGCCACCGAATAACTTGGGATCTCCTCTCCATCACTTACACCAGCCTGTCCTGACAGGCTTCAGCGCCCTCCCGTAGTACCCTTCCCCCGGCCAGCAGGACTGCAGCTAGTTTGCCTCTTCCATCCCTCTGCCCTTCAGCCGAATTTAATCTCTGATTAGCACATTTATGGAGGAGGAGCCGCTCATCTGGGCAGGGAGCGTCTTGCCCCCAATCTGTGATACGACAAGAGTCCAACAAGTAAGCTCCCGGGAGTGCATGTTGGTTCCTCCCAGGACCGGCCCTTACCCTGGGGGTATAAATCCAGCTCTGCCCTGCCCAGCAGCCACTGAGCGAGGTTTGCAGTCCCAGCTTCCCCACTCACCCCACACGACCGCAGCTTTATGGCGACGAAGCTAAAGATGAACAAGCTCTTGGCTCTGGGCTTCTCTGCCCTGCTCTGCTGTCTCTCAGGTGAGTCCCTGAAACGAAACAGGGGGGCTGGGAAGCTAACTGGCGACTGGCAGGAGGCAGAGCATGCTGTGCGATTTTGCCCTCTCCAGGTTGAAACCAGCTGTGCCCATGATGTCCCTGCCAGTGGAATTGGCCCTTTACACTTTCCAAGGTCATTCTGCTGCGCTGGGGCATAAAATCTCCCTGATTCCGGGTTTACTCCACACTCCTTGCAAATTAACACAGGAATCAGAGTCTCAACGTTCCCCCGACACCTCCGGGAGTGACTGTCCAGCCCATTCCGTAACAGCAGCAAGTGCCTGCGCTGCAGTGACAGGATTCCTGGCAGGCCCAGGGAATAGGGGTAACTGGATGAAATTAACTGTCCTGTGCTATACAGGAGGTCAGACTAGATGATCTATGTTCCCTTCTGGTTTTAAAATCTAGTCTCTTATGAACCGGATCTTTCCAAGGTCTGCAAGCAGCAGATTGCAAACCCACACCCCCATGCACACTGTGCTAGTTCATTCCATGCAGCCTATCCAAGCTGCCTGTCAAGGGCATGGGGACGTCCCTGGAGACACGGAACACAACTAACAGAGCGGTCCAGCAGTCCCTGTCCTTGTGTTGCATGCATAGAACATTGCACAAAGAGCTCCTGCACTTCACTGCTGGATGGCGACTAACAGCGTTTGTCTCCTGTGTAATCAAACCCCTGCCAGACGCTGGCAACTGGCTTCCTGTGGGCTCTGGAGACACTGCTTAGCGGTCATGGGGAGAGCCGTTGGTTGCCAGAGACCCTCTCCACACCACAGCCCCCACTCGTCTTTGTGTTACGTG